TTCTCCCTCTGACCCTCTCCCCTCTCATGCTCTCTCTCTCTCAAGTAAATAAATAAGTAAATCTTAAAAAAAAATAAAACCTACAATATAACAATATTAATGGGCATTCTTAGAAAGAAAGATTATGGGATGCCTGGGTGGCTCAGTGGGTTAACTGTCCACCTTCAGATAAGGTCATGATCCCAGCATCCTGCGATGAGTACCACATTGGGCTCCTTGCTCACCCGGGAGCCTGCTTCCTCCTCTGCCTCTCTGTCTCTCTCTCTCTGACAAATAAAATCTTTAAAAATAAAAGATTATTTATAATCTAATCACCTGACAACTTTTCATATTGCACATTCTTTTCTAAACTTAAAAATATACAAAACATACTTAATAATTGAAATCATGGTATATTTATATAGTTTCATTGTGTTTCATATTATGTCACATTATGTGATTTAAAATTTTATTATCATTCGTTAAAATTACGTCATGTCTCTTTAAAGTTTATTTATTTATTTTTAAGTAATCTGTACATCCAATGTGGGACTTGAACTTGCCACCCCGAGATCAAGAGTCACACACTTCTGACTGAGCCAACCAGGTGCCCCTATTATCATTTTTATTGGATGTATTCTACACTGTTCCTGTATACCTGGACTTGAAGTTTGTTTTTAATTTTTAGTTCTTTATAGATAATGCCATAATTTACCCATGATTACTTCTCCCTTTCTTCTTTTTCTGTTTTTGTTTTTTACTGTTGGAAGTATTTCCTTATGCTGTATTCTCAAGGTTGGAATTACTAAATGTGTTGAATTATTTTTTACTTTAGCCGTTTACCCCTCCCCTATCAGTGACTTCCCAGGTGTTGTGGATTCTTTGCTAATAGATCTGTCTGGCGGTCTCTCCCTTTCCCTTCTCACTGTTTCAGCCAGTTCTTTCTCTCATGCCAGGGTTATCGCACCCTTTTCCCCCCTAACTGGTTTCCTGAGTCTCCACGGTTTTCCCTTGCCAATTCACCTTTTCATCCTGCTGGATTAATTGCCCTAAAACACTGCTTTGGATAAAAGAGTTATTCATTGGACAAATGTTTATTGAATGCATGCCATGTACCAGATATTAAACTCCTTAGCTGGCGTTTCAAGGTCTGAGCATCCCCCGCTCATTAGCTTTACACCAGCCCTCTGACTCAGCCACCATGTCCTGAACATGCCATCTCCGTTCCCACGTGTGCATTTGTTTTAGGATGAGCTTCTATTTTGAATCCATTCTGCCTCCTTGTTTACCTATGTGAGTTTGTCTCTTTCTTTAAAGCCCAGCTCCAGTCAGTCCTCCCCCCACGAAGCCTCAGCTTTTTCATTCTTCAGTTTATATTCTTATCTTTAAACTGTTGCATTTAAGCAAAAAATATCCTCAGTGCCTTTCTTTTATTCATCAGATAAACCTTAAATTCCTTGATGTTGTGTTGAAGGCTTTCCAAGATCTGGCCCCATTTTTTTCTTATGTCCTAACATGAACTGTCTGATTCACCCGGACTCCTCTTTCTGTTCTCTAAATACTCCATGTCCCTTTCCACATCCATGACTTTCTTTGCTTGCTTGTTCTTTGTCCTGTCTCTTCTACCTGTCAGAACTTACCCATTTTCTTTAACAATTTTTTTTAGTTTTAATTAATTAATGATACTTGCATTTTGAACAAAAAGCCAATTCATGGAACAATATATAATCCATATGTAAAGACCTAAACTTGACTTTTTAAAAAAGATTTTATTATTTGATAGAGGGGGAGCACAAGCAGGGGAGCAGCAAGTAAAGAGAGGGGGAGAAACAGGCTTCCCACTGAGCAGAAAGCCTGACATGGGGTTAGGGCTCAATCCTAGGACCCTAGGATCATAACCTGAGCCAGAGGCAGACGCTTAACCTACTGAACCGTCCAAGCGCCTCTAGGCTTGACTTTTTACTTTTCTTTTACAAATCTTTCTTTTTACAAAAGTAATACTTAAAAAGAAAAAAAAAAAAAAAGTAATGCATGGGGCGCCAGGCTGGTTTAATTGATGGAGCATGTGATTTCCTCTCAGGGTTGTGAGTTCAAGCCCCATGTAGGATGTGGAGCCTACTTAAAAAACAAAACAAAAAAACCAACACAACACATAATATAAGATATATATGTATATATAAGATTTTTAAAGACATACTAATGGTATAAATAAAGATATCTATGAGGACAGAAAGTATATATATTAATGGTTAATGGTTTCTATTACCTCTTCTTCCAGGTTGCCCCTCTTAAGATAACCAGCATTAAAGGCTTGGTATCTTTGGTATGTGTCCTTCCACACCTTTCTCCTTGCCCCTGTGTGTAAACTGAATGGACTGTTAAGTGCTGCTCCATGCCCCAACAAGATTGGGAGTGTACCTTACACCAGCAGTTCTCAACAGTGTTGTCCAGGACCCTTGGGGGTTCCCTAAGACAGTTTCAAGAGGTCTGCAAGCATAATTATTTTTATTATATACTAAGATGTTAGTTGTCCTTTTTTTTTTTTTTTTTTTTTTTTGCTGGGTTGACATTTGCTTTGAGGGTGCAAAAGCATAGGTGGATAAAACTGCTGGTCCCATGGCACTAATCAAGGTGGGTACACCAACTCCCACTCACTGTGCTCTTCACTGCCACATGCTTGCAGTAAATAAGGCCAGTTTCACTTAAGAATAGCCTTGATTATACACTAAGATTTACAAATGTTGTTAAACCCTGGCCCTTGAATACACATCTTTTTACTTTTTTCCAGCTTTATTGAAATATATTTGACATAGAACATTGTGTAGGTTTAAGGTATGCAATGTGATGATATGATACATGTACGTATTGTGAAATGTTTACCACAATAAGGTTAGTTAACACATCCTTCACAAAATTACCATTTTGTTGTTGTTAAGGTCTACTCTCATAGCAACTATGAAGTATACCGTACGGTTCTCTGTTAAGGATGGTTACCATGCTTAGATTCCCCAGAACTTACTCGTTTTATAACTGAAAGTTCCTCATCTTTTTAACGTTCTCTGTGGACTAAATGGGAAGGGAGGATGAAACACTTGGCTGCATATTGAAGTAAGGTGGGGTCTTAAGGAAAAGCACTGGCACAGTTGTCCATAAGTTGCAAGCTAAACAGGCTTCCTTTCCACGGAACACCATTTTTACATAAAAAAACCGCTGACAAACTCATAATTGAGAACTGGATATCTGCTAGGCATTTTCCTGAAAGGAAGGAAGTGAGCTTGTCATTTCAAGGAAAGCAACTGACACTCTTTGTTGCCAGTGGTAAAATTCAAGCCTTCAAGTAAAAAATAAGAATTCTGGAAAACTTGTATTTGCCACTGTGAGCTTGACAGCTTCCCAGTAAAGACTTTTCTGATCAGATTAATGAATTTTTTTTTAAGATTTATTTATTTATTTTAAAGAGAGAGAGACCATGACCAGGAGGGGCAGAGGAAGAGACAACCTCAAGCAGACTCCAAGCTGAGCTTTGAGCCTGATGTAGGGTCTCAATCTCTTGACCCCCAGACTGCCACCCGAGCCAAAACCAAGGGTTGGATGCTTAACTGACTGTGCCACTCAGGCACCCTATTTGTTTTGTTTTGTTTTAAGATATATTTATTTATTTGGAGGGGAGCAGAGGGAGAGAATCTCAAGCAGACTCTCTGCTGAGCATGGAGCCTGACACATGGCTCCATCCCATGGCCCTGAGAGCATGACTTGAACCAAACCCAGGAGTTGGACACTTGACCAACTGAGCCACCCAGGCACTCCTGTTTTTTTTTTTTTTTAAAGATTTTATTTATTTATTTGACACAGAGAGAGAGATCATAAGTAGGCAGAAAGAGAGGGGGAAGCAGGCTCCCTGCTGAGCAGAGATCCCCATGTGGGGCTCGATCCCAGGACCCTGAGATCATGACCCAAGCCGAAAGCAGAGGCTTAACCCACTGAGCCACTAAGGCGCCCCTGTTTTTTGTTTTTTTAATATTGCATAGTAAAATGGATAATATTACAAAATAAGAGTGGAAGGGATTCTGAAAGAAAAAACTTTAAGGATAATTACTCTCTACACATTGCCCTGCAACTTGCTTTTTCACTTAGTATATCATAAGCACCATTCAAGCCAGAGTGAGCGCATTTATATCTGACACTCTTTCTCATAACAACATGGTGTTCCATCGTGTGGATGGTCTGCATGTATTCAGGCACTCATCTGTTGATGGCCAGACAAGTTGCTTTCGGTTTTTCCTATTTTAAGTTACGCAGCAACAAAGATCCTTTACATATATCCTCATGTACTGGTGCTTTTATATGTGAAGTATGGATCCTTAAAAGTTGACCTGTTTTTCATGACCGATTTTAATTAAACTTACCCTCTCTACATCTCCAGTCATTTCTGCTTCCTATAGTTCTTGTTTTTGCCCCTTTTAGCTTTTTACTCAGTTATTGGGTGCCCCCATGCTATTGTCTTGTGTTTTTTTTCTTTTTTAAACTCCTCTTCTCTGCCTGTCCTATCTTGCCAGCAAATTAAAAATAGAAGATAGTGTAAAAATAGAAACTCCTGGGGCACCTGGGTGGCTCAGTCGGTTAAATGTTCAACTGTTGGTTTTGGCTCAGGTCATGATCTCAGGGTAGTGAGACCGAACCCTACATCGGGCTCTGCGCCCAGCACAGAGTCTGCTTAAAGATTCTCTCTGTCCTTCCCCTGATGTGAATGCTCTCTTCACTCTCTCAAGTGAATGAATAAAATCCTTAAAAAAAAAAAAAAAAGAAAAGAAAAGAAACTCCTGGGTACAGTGTTTGGATACTCAATGAATAATGATGAGATGGGGAATTGAAGGTTGATGAGAGAAAAGGATGTCTTCATGGTTGCATTTAGTGGCTGGATGGGGGCTAAGGACAGCTGTGTGCATTCATGGATTCTTTCAGATTCAGAAATATTTGAAAATTAGGAAGAATAACTGCTTAACTTAATTCTCTCATTGCAGGCAAGTACATCGCTTCAACACAACGACCTGACGGGACCTGGCGCAAGCAACGGAGGGTGAAAGAAGGCTATGTGCCCCAGGAGGAGGTCCCAGTGTGCGTGGTTAGGCGTGAGGAGGGGGTACTTAATGGGGTCCCTACAGAAAAGAAGAATCTCCTGATCCCAAGACTCTAGGAAACGGAAGGAAGGAGCAACTATCTGAGAAAGAAGAAGAGAGGGGGCTGGGATTCAGGAATGAGTGAGGGAGGTTAAAGTGCCTAGTCCCGTTCCTATGGCTTCTGTTCTTCGGAACCTCCAAACAGCATTTAGATAGAGAGAACTTTGAGACCTGGAGACCTTCCCACAGCCTGCAGAACAGGGGGAAATTGGAAAGGGACCACAGGAGAGGAAGGAAGCAAGAAAGTGCAATGGATGAAGTGATTAGAAGGTTAAGAAAAGGGCTCCAGAAGTCAGTGTTTCTTTGAAACTGTTGACCTCTCTTCCCTGCAGGTATGAGAACAAGTATGTGAAGTTTTTCAAGAGTAAACCAGAACTGCCCCCAGGTCTGAGCCCCGAGGCCACTGCTCCTGTCACCCCATCCAGGCCTGAAGGAGGGGAACCAGGCCTCTCCAAGACAGCCAAACGCAACCTGAAGCGGAAGGAGAAGCGGCGGCAGCAGCAGGAGAAGGGGGAGGCAGAGGCCTTGAGCCGGACTCTCGATAAGGTGTCTTTGGGAGAGACTGCCCAAGTCCCCAGTGCTCCGCAGGGCTCCCGGGCAGCCCCTACAGCTGCCTCTGACCAGCCTGACTCAGCTGTCACCACTGAGAAGGCCAAGAAGATAAAGAACCTAAAGAAGAAGCTTCGGCAGGTAGAAGAGCTGCAGCAGCGGATCCAGGCTGGGGAGATCAGCCAGCCCAGCAAAGAGCAGCTGGAGAAGCTAGCGAGGAGGAGGGCGCTAGAGGAGGAGCTTGAGGACTTGGAGCTGGGCCTGTGAGGCCTTTGGGGAGTAGGGAATGGACTGCAGAACAAACCATGGGGCTTTCTGGGGTCTTGGGGAATATGGGCAGCAGCAGTCAGGAGGGGGCACCCCCCATACTGACTCAGTTCCACCTCTCATGGTCCAACTCCATCCTCCAGAGTCTAGCCTCGCCGTCATTCCTTCCCTCTTATTCCCAACTCCTATTTTTTGGACTTTTCTCCCTCCCATTCCCAGTGTTGAAAATCTCAGTGACTACCCCAGGTACCTTTGCTGCTGATTTGGGTGTCTTGTTTAAAAGAGAATTGGGTGGGTGGGACTCTTGGAGAACTGAGGTCGAGGGTAGGGGGAGTACACCCAAGTCTTGGAGTCTTGGTTCCTGTTCACAGTGTTTATGGGTTATTTCTCCCTCCATTCCTCACCTCCTTTTTTTTTTTTTTTTTTTTTTTTTTTAAGAACAGAATAAACTCAAGTAGACAACATATCTGACTTTGTCCCTCTCTTTTCAGCATCTAGGCTTCTAGTAGGTGTTTTATCTCCTTCAGTTTGGTACTAGAAGACAAGTGTTGGGAGTAATATTCCTTTTAATTTTTAAATTTTTTTGAAAGCTTATTTATTTGCGAGAGAGACACATAGAGAGGACAAGCATGAGCAGGGAGAGGAGCAGAGGGAGAGGGAGAAGCAGAAACAGACTCCCCGCTGAGCAGGGAGCTTGACATGGGGCTTGATCCTGGGACTCCAGGATCATGATCTGATTCAAAGGCAGACGCTCAACCAACTGAGCCACCCAGGCACCCCTATTTCTTTAAATTTTTAAGAATTATGAGTGTATGACTAAATTAGCAACACTGATTTCTGTATTGTTTGCTCAGACTTGAGTGACTAGTAATTAGGTCATAATAAAATGAAACTTAGAACAAATTTAATACCACATGTTAATTTCCATGTGTCATTATTCTGCTGCATAGCAATGGGAACTTTGTACCTCCCTTATTGTTTCTTTCTGAAGCTCTTTTGAGATTTTACCTTCTCATATGCCACCTCAAGATGGTATTGTGGGACAAACTAACACAAGAAGCATTTACAGCCAAAAAGAGCTCTCACTTAATTTTTGCATATGTGATTCACCCCTCCCCCCAATTTACTACAATCTTTCTTTCTATCCAGCTGCTAGTGTATAGAGACCAACGGAGGGGAAGTCCACTGTAATGAACTGTCCCCATTGTTCCAAGTTCTTAGCCTGACTCATATGGTCCCACACAATCTGGCCTCATTTTTTGCCATTCCTCAACTCTGGCCAAACTGTGCTCCAATTATCCTGACTACTTCCTGTTCATTGAATGAGCCCTATTCTCTCTGACCCTCAGTCATTTGCCCTTACGGGTCCATCTGCCTATAATACTCTTCCTGACCCCTTCTGCCTAGTCAAATCTTTCTTAGTCTTTGGATCTCAATGTCATCCTCTCTAGGAAGACTTCCATTACGCTCAAATATTAATTTAGGTGCCTCTCTAAACTTGCTTCCTTACTTAGGTTTGTAATGGTATTTATTACATTACATTATCCTTGCTCACTTGTTAGCCCTCTTCCTCTTCATCAGCTCATTGCACTCCTTGAGCTCTGGGACTGTTTGTCATCATTGCATCCCAGTCCCCCAAACAGTAAATTCTCATATAATTGCTTGAATGAATAAGGTCACAAGCCATGTGTAGAAACAGAAGATGAGAGATAATTTGTGCCTTGAACAGCTGAGCTCAGTTAACGAGGACTTGCCTGGGCACCTCAGTGTGAGACTAAAAGCCCGAGTTCGCTTATGCTGGACCCCTGCACAACTGTAAAGATTTTATAAATACAATTTAATTGGCTTAGATACAGATGTTTGATGTTTTATAAGTTCAGCTGCTTTAGGGGAGTCTACACCTTAAAAACTGTTATTAAGGAGAGATTGTTTTGCAAAAGGATTTGCCACAGTAAAGCTTTAAATTTCCTGAATCTTAAGTAGTTTGATTAAAGTTCATTTTTATATTTGTTGGGCCCTGTTAGTTATTATGCCAGTCCAGAGGGATGCAATTATGAATACATTGTAGAGCCTTCATTTAAGGAAACTATTAAGTTGTATAATTCACTAGTTAAGTACTGGGCAGATTTAATTAAGTGCTAGGCAGCACTGGTTTTGAGGGAGAACTAAGAAACCATTTCTTCTGGTTGGGGGAATGGAAAGACTTAATTGTGGTGTTGGATTTTGAAGATTATGACTCACATCTCAAGAAAGGCAGATAGGGGAGAGCAAGTATGGCAGCACAAAAGGGATATGGTGAATTTGCTTTCAATTCTATAGGGACATCTTTCCTTACCAAAAAATTAGTGTTGATATAGGATAAAAATTGGCAAACTAGTGTTTTTCAAAATATGGGTCATGAAACTGATTTAGAAAGTGGTGACTAGTAGTGTGTTTTGTTTCTCAAGTTTTGTTATAGTTGTTTTAACATTTATTTACTTATTTTAGGGGTGCCTAGGTGGCTCAGTCTGTTAAGTGTCCAACTCTTAGTTTCAGCTCAGGTCATGCATGATCTCAGGGTTGTGAGATGGAACCCTGTGTTGGACTCCACGTTCAGCATGGAGTCGGCTTGAGATTCTCTCCCTCTGCCCCTCTCCCTGCTTGCGAGCTCTTTCTCTTTCTCAAAATAAATAAACTCTTTTAAAAAAGTTATTTATTTTAGAGAGAGAGTCTCAAGTGGACTCTGAGCTGAGTGCAGAAAGAGAGGCAGGGCTCAATCTTACGACCCTGTGATCACAGCCTGAGCCAAAACCAAGAGTTGGACACAACTGACTGCATCACTGAGGTGCCCCAAGATCTTGTTTTTAAGTAATCTCTATGCCCAAGTGAGGCTGGGACTTAGATAACTCTGAGATCAAGATTCACATGTTCTAAGACTGAGCCAGCCAGGCATCCCACTTGTGGTATTTCTAAATGGAGTAGAATAGAAAATAGCAGAGACTGATGCATAATAAGAGTAAATAGGTCTCAGGATAATTTTGTTTCAGTATGTATGTGTATCACTATATATATAAGTATTGAGTGAAAATATAAAATGTATTTCTTATCTTGATTTGCAGGAAAATGAATTTGAAAGCCACGAGTGAAAATCAGTAGTAAGGGGCTAGGGCATCACACACTGTCTAGTCACTCTATTTGGAATGGTTGGGGTAGAAGGATACTAGTTTAATTATGTCCCTCAACAGGCTCTTGTAGTTATGGCAAAATAAATTAGCTCCTCTATTTCTTTTTACTATTGAGGCTATCTTACTATTTATTTGGAAAAATTTTCCCCCTTGCAGATGATTCCTCCTAATGTGTAAATAGCAAAGATTCTAGGAATCTGGAAGTGAGTTATTTTAAAACCTGCCATTTACCCTCATGGGCTCAGAGCCCATGTGTTAGCTTCTTATAGTCCACTAGGTGGTGCTGTGAGGGGCCGGTATCCGCAAGTTACGCTGTCTCTAGACTCCAGCTTGTTTTGAAACTAGCAGATAGGTTTACTTAGGCAGAAAATCTTTTCTCTTCAGGTTCCCAGGCATTCCAGCACAAGATGTCTAGATCTCCCTCCCTTCCCCAACTATAACCTTGTCCTACAAATTGAGGAGGGTAGAGAATCTGGGATCGAGAAGGTTTTTGTTTTTGTTTTTTTTTTGTCAGTATTGCCATCTCTCCAAAGAGATCAGAAATGCTTTACATTCCCCCGTGGAAATCAATGAAGATGCTCAACTGCAGTGGAAGGACTGGAGGTTATACGCCCCCAAGACAATAACTGGCTTAGTGGGGGTATTGGAATTGGCTGAGAGGAGGGGAGGGAGAAGTTGTTAAAAGATCTCTTCTTTGGGGGTATCTGGGTGGCTCAATTGGTTAAACAGAGCTAAGTTTCTGCCTTTGGCTCAGGTCATAATCCTGGAGTCCTGGGATGGAGTCCCGTGTGGGGATCCCTGCTCAGCGGAGAGCCTGCTTGTCCCTCTCCTCCCTGATTGTGCTCTCTCTCACTATCTCTGTCTCACTTCTCTCTCAAATAAATAAAATCTTTTAAAAAATATATATATATTTATTTACTTTAAAAAGATTTTAAAAATTTGTCAGAGAGAAAGAGTGAGCACAAGCAGGGGGAGCAGCAGCAAGCAGAGGGAGAAGCAGACTCCCCACTGAGCAAGGAGCCCGATGTGGGACTTGATCCCTGGACCCTTGGTTCATGACCTGAGACAAAGGCAGATACTTAACCAACTGAGCCACCCAGGAGTCCCCCTGAAACAAATATATTTTAAGAAAAGGATCTCAGGGCGCCTGGGTGGCTCAGTGGGTTAAGTCTGCCTTCAGCTAAAGTCATGCCCCACTTCAGGCTCTCTGCTCAGCAGGGAGCCTGCTTCTCCCTCTCCCTCTGCCTGCCATTCCCCCTGTTTGTGTTCTCTCTCTGTGTCAAATAAATAAATAAAATCTAAAAAAAAAAAAAACAAAAATTTTTGGAAAAGGATCTCTTCCTTGAGAAAGCAACAAGTTATAGAATTTGATTATATTCAGCAAACATTTTTCAAGAGTTTTCTATAGTCTAGGAGAACACAAAGTTGGATAAATTTTGGTACCTACTTTCTAGAAGCTCTAGAAAAAGAGACAACATTCAACAATAATACAGTGTGATAAATAGGGGAATACACAGAGCACTGTGGAAGCAGATAAGGGACCCCCTACGTCAGTTGTGGTAGTGGGGGCAGGGAGATGGTGGTCAGGAAGGTTTCCCAGAGAAGATGACTACTAGGCTTCCATCCTACAAAGATGAATAGGAGTCCTCCAAATCTACCAGGTTCTGCTGTACTCAGGTCTCCCCTGGTGACTTCATGTACCTTTGTGATTTCAACAACTACCTCTGTGCTAATAACTTTCAATGTTTCCCAAGCCCAGTCATCTCCCAAACCTGCCCATCCAGTGTCTCCTATTTGTATGTCATTTTTCAAATTCAACTTGTTTAAAACCAAGCACTGGAAGAGACCCAAGGCTTTGATTTTTATAGTAATCATATAATTTTTATCCTTATTCATTATATGGGTGGATATCACTTCCTGTATGAATTACTTCAAAAGCACATTAACTGGTTTCCAGCTTGGATCTCTCTCCTCCACACCTTTCCCCAGTCTGTCCTACATACTTAGATCTTCAACAAGATTTATCTTCCTTAAGTCCAATGTTTATGTTATCATTTCATTGAACAATAACCTTTAGAGGTTTTGTTTGCTCTACCCAATGGAGACCAAGCTCCTTCATCCAACAGTCAAGCTAGTTGTTGTGGTTTGAATATTTGTGTTCCCCACACCTCTCCATTCATGTTGAAATTCTAACCCCCCAAAAGTGATAGATTTAATAAGTCGGGACTTTGAGTGGTGAATAGGACTTGAG